CTCTGTGTGGCAAATGGGGCCATCGATGTGTTGTCCCAGCCAGTCAGAAACCGTGTGCAATGCCTCCGCCTCCCTGCGGGGCTGCCTGCGAAATCTCTGGCAGCTTCAGCTCAAGCTGACGTCGTTTCCTGTCTGCAGTACAGTAGCATTCTAGGAACCCGTCTTGACTCTGGTTGTACAGCAACTATTCTTCATATTGCCCCTGGGGGAGCTCACTCCCCAGTAAACAGTTGGTCACGGTCATGCTCAGACTGCCTCACGGTCTGGTTCCTGCTTGCTTGTATTAGGTACGTAGTCCTGCCATAACAGAAATACTGCAAGTATAGCTGGGGAAATGTGTTTTCTCACAGTTCCTGAGGCTAAAGCAAGGTCTTGGCTGCGGCGAGTCCTTCTGCGGGCCTCATATTTGTCCCTGGAGTCTGCTGGTACCCTTTGCTTGTCCATGTGCCCTCGTGTGCGCCTGGTCCCCTGTGTGTGTCGCTGTGTCTGCTCTTTTTGTAACTCAGAAGTGATGAGGTTTTAGACCCACCCTTCTCCGGGGGCTGACATCTGTAACATAACAAAAGAGAGCCCTATTTCTAAGCAGATTAATTCACAGGAAAGGTGTTAGGGCATATGAGGGAGTACCCACCAAAAACCTGGAATCGCACTGAGCGGAGCGGAGCTTTCATAATACACATCTTTCTAGAGCATTGGGCAACTCACTCTGAGTTAGTGCACGCAGCAGCAGCATCTGGGAAGATTCTCTTTGGTCACAGTGAATTGTTTCATGCAAGCAATTCCACTTGAGCCTCATTTTTTGTGATGGCCGATTTAAGAGAACAGCGTGTGAGTTAAATTTTGTTTCCTGTTCGAGATATATGCCACAGAAACTGTTGTGATGTTGAACACAGCTTACAAGGACAGCGCTATGGGAAAAACTCAAGTGTATGAGTGATTTTCCCATTTCAAAAAAGGTGAAATGTCGATTGATGACACACCTCATTCTGGACATATGTCAACTTCCTGAAAAGACAGAAATATCAACTCGTACTGCATTTGGAGTTCGTTCTACCAGGTCAGACTGTTAATCAAGCTTTCTGTTTAGAGGATCTGAAAAGATAGCATATCAGAGTTCAACAAAAAGGCCCAGCAGACTGGGCACTGGTTTTGCCACCATGACAATGCACCTGCTCACACAGACATCTCAGTGTGCCAGATTCTGGCAGAAAACGGCATGCCTCTTTTACCCATGCCCCTTACTCACCTGACCTCGCTCTGTGCGACTTCTTTTTGTTTCTTAGAAGGCAGAGGGACAAGAAAGGACAATGATTTGATGATGTAGAGGAGGTGAAGACCTTCCCGACATGATCACTGAAGTCAAAATGGGTGTATAAGCAAATATGGCGAAGAAAGCTGATGGTGCCCAGCTGTTAGAAGATTCAGCATCTGGGGTCTTAAAGGCTTGACGTTAAAAGAAGTGTCCATCTAGCAGGCAGCCAAGAAGCCCACATGGAAGAGCACACCAGCCTGGGCGATCATGAGGTGTCGGCAGGATCAGATACCAGGCATCAGAAGCCCCCAAACAAGAAATCATATAGATGTGAATGAGGGGGCTTGGAGTGGAGACGCAAAGCCCATCTGTAGGCAATTGGACATCTCACAGAAGGGTCACAAGAAGGGACAAGCCAGTACACCACAGAACACAAGATTCTTCTAGTTCTTTAATGCTTCCTCCTCCCCGTTCCCCACCCACTTCATGACCCCAGTTCTACCAGCTAGAACAGAGCATGCATACTGGTACAGATAGGGCTCTCGAGCTCTTGACACACAGAATCCAGGACAGATAAACCCCTCAGCAACAATAACGGGGATAGTAATACCACGAATGTAGGGGGAAGGGGTGGGGAGAAAGGGGGGACTGATCGCAATGATCGACATATAGCCTCCTCCTGAGGGGGACGAACAACAGAAATATGG